GTGAGGGGCTGGCACCCCACTTTCCCAGAAGAAGTACTGTGTCCCTGTCTCGGGGTGAGCAACTGAGAGCGGCTGCATGTGGCTGCACTTCTCCTCCACCTTGGGGGAGGCTTGTTTTTTCAGCCAGCCTGCTTTCAAAGCTGTGTGTTCATAATAATGTCAAAAGGAAACAAATGGCTGCCAAGAAAACAACAAAAAACCTTTTTTCTTAAGAGTCTGGCTATAAATAAATAAATAAATGGAGTCACGCAAAGAAAAGGATAAAAAGATAAAATCAAGGCTGTGGGCTTGACCTGAGCTGACTCTTAGGAGGTGCTTGCTGATGGCAGGGGTTGGGGGATGAGGGGTTGGGGGTGGGAACCTTTTTGAGCCATTTCTTCCCTCTGAGACTATAAGTCAAGAGAGATGGCTCTCCCCACCCCAGATTGTTTTATATTTTAAGCTTTAATTAAGAAAAACTTGATACCAAATTGCATGTAGCCCAGGCTGGCCTCTAACTCACTATGGGCTGTGCATGATCTTAAGCTGGCCCTCCTGCCTCCGCTTGCTTCCCCCAGGCCAGGATTAAAGGTGTGCATTCCTGCATCTAACTTTTTGCTTTTTAAGCCTTCTCTGGTCTCTGGAGAGGGAGTGAGGAGACAAGAGGCTCAAGAGGCTCGCCTCAGTCACTCTCTGCTCTCCTCTCTGCCTGCCTCCTCCCCCCACCCTCCCCTGAACTCCATCAATCCCTTTATGGCCTCCAACGCCATTTCTCTCTGTCCTCCATCTCCCTCTTTTTCTGGATTCTTCTTCTTAGTCCTCAGCTGGTATTTCTGTACAACCAGCTCGCTACAAACCTGGAGATTCAGTGCAGCAAGAGGGCTCCTGGCCAGAAGGACCATGTTGATACCTATTCTTCATGTCCGGTTGCTGGATTGCTGTGTGAACAGGGTGTTCAGCTCAGAACAGTGAGGAAGCTTGGGAGAGCCAGGCTGGCAGGCTCCTATGACTCAGTGTCCTCACAAACCCACCCCAGGTCTGGAACTGGGCACGGCTGGTGCCCAGCCAGTGGCATTTCACATCTTTGAAGTGTGTGTCCTCTTGGCAACTGGACCATAACTTTAAAAATCTCAGTATTTCTGGGATTCACTAAAACCCAGTAGCCCAGTGGACTGTTCACCAGTGGAGTGGAAGACATGGGCTCTCCAAACACCATCCTCTGAAGACTAGAGGGTCCTTTGAGGCTGCCCATTGGGTTAACACTGGAAACTACTCAACACAGAGTGTGAGAACTGGAAGATTCAGGCTGGGGCAATGTTGGTGTCTGTAGACCCTTGAGCCTGGCCCCACCCACCACCCACTGCCCTCTGGTTCCCAAAGCTGCTCTTGAGTTTGGCCTTCTTTCAAGACTGGTTCACTGGATGCCTTCTTCAGGGAGTCTCTCGTGATTCTCCTGGCATGAAGGACCTGTACCTCCTCCTTGCTCTTCCATGGTAGTGACTTTCCTGAGCCTCCTCAGGTGCCACCCTCAGTCACAGTTAACCCTCCAGCTTATGGCTATGTGTGCAACCCGAGCCAGGTGCCGAGTGCCCCAGGCCTCTCCACTCCTCTCAACACCTCTGAAGCAGGGACTCTTCCCTCCCTGTACTACAGTGGGAAACTGAGGCCTAGGGAAGTGCAGGGGGCTTTCCTGATGTCACAAGTCTGTAATAGAGTGAGGTCTGAGCTGGGACTTGGCAGGTTTGGCCAGGATCACATCACTCTCCCTGGGCTTTGAGTGTTTCCCCAAGGCCTTGAACAGGAAGGACCACCCCGGGGAGAGCATGTGGATCACAGTCTGGCAGGCTGTGTGTGCGTGTGTGCTTCTTGTTTATAAAGGTCACCCAGTCCCTGGCCCTGTTTGGTATTGTTTTTGATGTTCGAGGGCGGTGTGGAAATTTCTGTTTTATGTGACCTAGTTTCTGGACTTTGATAATGGCATTCCCTGTGCCCCCTCCCTCATCCCCCAGCTCTGAGATTTTGGAATCAGGGTCACAATCTCAGTCTCTCTTCCCCAGGCCCTGGGCTTCATGCCCCATGCCTAGGTAGGGGGCTGATGTGTGTAGTGGCTCTAGGACTTGGCTGTTATTATTGTCACTTTAAGTTTTATTTGTGGTTATGTGTTCACGCATGTGCAGGTACACATGGAGGCCAGTGATACCCCTTCATGTGTGTCTCAGGAACAGTCCACCTTGCTCGTTGAGTCAGGATCTCTCGCTGGGTCTGAGGCTGATGGATTAGGCTAGTTAGCCGGCGAGTTCCAGGGAGCCACCTGTCTCTGCCTCCCCAGCACTGGGTTTACACAGGCCACTGTGCCTAACTTTTTAGTGACAAAACACAGTGCGTTTTGGAGATTGGTCTTGGGCCTTCGTGCTGTCTCTACACTTTACCCACTGAGCTATCTCTGCAGTCCTGTGCCATGGGGTGGCGCCTTGGCGTGATTCTCCTGTATGGCTCGGTGGAGCCTCCCTGGATGACCTCATTCTCCCCAAAACTGTCTTTTATTCTGCTTTGACTGTCATCCTGACCACTGTGCACAGCCTTGGTGTAGCGGACCCTCCGTGCTTTTCTCTGAAGTGTTAGCCGGATGGGATTTGGGAAACCCTGGTCACTGGGCTGCCAGTGAATTTCCCTGGAAGGTTTCTTTTCTTCCTGTTTCTGACTCTCTCCATTTCACTAAACAGTGCAAATATTTGCTGGGGTTTGGTCCGTTTTCTAAAGGAGCCTGGTGCCCGAGGATGGATCTCTGTGTGTCTTTGGGAGGCGACACAAAGGGAGTCCACGCCCGTGGCGGTCACTGATTCGTGAAGGGTTTTACAGTTGTCGGCTTCCCTCACAGAATCATGGTGAGGACTGGGGGAATTAGGAAATGGTTTGTGAGGACTGGAGGGATGGCTCAGTGGTTAAGAGCCCTTCCGTGTGTGACTGAGTCATATTTAGGGCTCCGAATGGGTGAGGCCATCCCACTTTCTTCTTCTTCTTCTTCTTCTTCTTCTTCTTCTTCTTCTTCTTCTTCTTCTTCTCCTCCTCCTCCTCCTCCTCCTCTCTCTCTCTCTCTCTCTCTCTCTCTCTCTCTCTCTCTCTCTCTCTTCTTTTGAATCTAAGAACATCTGTGCTATTTCCACCTTTTGGCTGTTATGAATGACGTGGCCTTGAACATGGGTTTACAAGTTTACTAGAGGGCCTCCTTTTTCAAAAAGCTGGACATCAGCATCTTTGCTAACGTCCTTGTGGAGGGCAGAGGTGGCTTTTCTCCAGAGCTGGATCCACAGTCATGTTTCAAGAGCCCGTTGTGTGTCCTGCTCTAAGCTGGGGACTTGTATTCTTTAGCCTGCCTGGGAACAGAGAACAAACAGGAAATGCCACCTGAGGCAACAGGATTAGAGGGGTTAACAAGACTGACTTGGGGTCTCCCGGCCAGCAAGGTTGGAGCCACTTGTATCATACACGGTGCTGTCCCCATCATCTGCTGGTGCGGGTGCCAGGTGACCAACATGTAAAACGTTATTAATCTTTGAAGTGACTGGTATTCCGGGCAGAGTTTAGAAGGCGTGTATCACTGTAGAAGTTCTCAGGAGGAAGCATAGAGAGGTGGGACACCTGTCACTGGAGATTCCCCACCCTGCCCCACGACAGGATGTGTGATCAGTAAGTGATTGGTGCCCCCCTCTCAGGGCTGTAAAAAACTGCAGGTGTAGGCCTGGACCTGGCTCTGTCCCCTCTGGATTTTGGAACTGAAGTCTGGACTCTGAGATCCAGCAGTATGGAAGGCACCATTTCCGGTTCTAGGGCTCCAGACGTGGTAGAGCTTTCTGTAGACAGGAAAAAGTCAAGTTTTGCATCTGTCCCCTTCCTCTCCATCCTGTGACTGTGACCTGTGTGGTGGATGTCACAGAACTAGGGTGCGCAGTGTCTGAACTCTGTAACTACCCCCCCATCCGCAGCCTACATGCATGTGAGCTTATTATGCATGGCTTGCAGTTTCTGGGCACACACATTGTCAGCATGGAAGCTCACTCACTTCCTTAGAGTCTGTAGCTTTTCCTACTGCCCTCGATCCCCATCCTGTTACCTTCTGTAGAGATTTAAGATCTTAGCGGGAAGCATGTCCCTCCAGGGGCCAGGAGAGATGGAGATGGTAATGGAGATTTAGTGACTTCCCAGCTGGTGCACATGTGTGCACCTGCAGAGTTAGTGGAGCGTGTGGGGAGAACGAGGGCCGTGGGTCATGCCTTGCTGGGTTCAGGACATTGTCCAAGCAGATTTCCCGGCAGGCCGGAGTAAGTGCAAGTGAGGGTTGGTTGTCACGACTCTCGGCTTAGTCCACGTGGAAGTGAGGTGAGAGGGGCCATCTAGGCTGGCTGCATGCGGATGCCCTCTTGGAGGTTAACTGTTCCCAGGGCAGAGATCTAGAAGGGTTGTGCCCAGCAGGAAGGAGGCATATGTCCAGGCTGAGCCGGTTTCTGGCCTGAGATTCTGGCCTGTTTAAAAATAGAGGCAAGGGCAGCACGGAATCTAAGAGTTCACTACACCTCCATCAGACTTCCGTCCCAAAGGAGGCGGCACACTTTAAATTCTGATTGCCCGTGTGTGCAAGCAGGCCTGTTCACACCTCGAGTCTACAACCCCAGACCCAGAGACAGCTCTGCCAGAGACAGAAGGGCAGTTCCATTTATGTTCTCTGCCCTTGCTGGGGGTCCAAGTGCTGTCTACCACAACAGCCTCGGTCAGGTCTGGAAGTCACTAGAAGCAACCAGAAGCTTCCATATCCTAATCACATATTCCAGTGTGGACAGACAGGCCAGGCTTGGATGGAATTGAGAAGTGCCTGATGCAAAGCAAAATGGCAGGTGTTCTGGGCCGGGAGGACTTTTCTCGGCCACCCACCATGAAGGGATGTGCGTGTAAGTGGCGTGTTGGAAGCGTGGGATTTTCCTCTTGGGCTCTCTGCATACTGACTGGGCCTCTCTTTACCTCAACAGTGACTGACTTGCAAGAAGAAGGCAAGAGCGCCATCAATTCTCCAATGGCCCCGGCTTTGGTGGACATCCACCCTGAAGACACCCAGCTAGGTACTGTGGTCACTTGACAGCCTTTGTTGTCCATCCCTGGTGTCCATCCATGGTGTTGGACCACATATGGGTGGGCCGTGTTTGAGAACCCACATCTCATTCAGAGAGATCTCTAGGGAGAAGCAGCAAGTGTGGATTTCATTGACATTCGGGTGTTGATGACTGGCATTGGGACCGTGGCTTGTTATGGTCACAGTTCCAGGGGGTGGCCCAGTAGGGCTGGGCAAGCAGTGGTGGAGAGAGAGAGAGAGAGAGAGAGAGAGAGAGAGAGAGAGAGAGAGAGGAAGAAGAAGAAGGAGGAGGAGGAGGAGGAGCCGGCTTCTTTATTCAGTAGAGGACTGGATGGTGTAAGCTCCAGGCACAAGGTACTGAATTGAGTTAGCTGATAGCTGGCCTAGGAGATGAGAGAAAGTGAGGCAGAGAGTGTTGACTCAGGGTATGGAACCCCATGAGTCCCTAGAGGTAGAGGCAAGGGGACAGCCATCCCCTGAGGACAGTCTCCCTGGGATGAGTGGGCCCCAATGTCTCAGCGCATGAAGAAATTCAGAAACTGGACACACATTCCAGACACCCCATTTACTTCCATGACTGCCCTGAAGAGCCGTGCGGCTGACTGGGTGGAAACTGGGGGGGCGGGGGGGGAAGCTCCTGACTCCTTGCAGGTCGATGACAGGTGGTAGTCAAATGCCGTTTCCTGGCCTCATGTTTTGGCAGCAAGGAACTGTGGACACTGCTTATTTCTGAACACCAGTTCAGAGGAAGATCCCTGTCTGTCCAGGTTCTATGACAAGGCCATCAGGGTCTCAGGGAAGAAGCAGGTGAAGCCCAACTTGTGACCCAGAGGTGGCCTGGTATCCGAGACCACTGGTCTGTGATGTATCTCCCTGATGAAGGGCATGCTTGTTACTGCTGATGCGGCTGATTGTTGCAATAGGTACCCTGGGCTATTCTCTGCCTGGGAAGCTGGACTCCCCACCTTCAGCTCCCCGCTGTGAATTCAGTGGGTCCACAGCACTCAGGCATTTAGGACCTGGTCCTTTCTCTTCTGGCTCCCACATCTTCATTCCTTCCCCACCTTGCTATCCCACTCCCCCAATGAACTCCACTGACCTCTTGCTGTCTGTCAGATCTAAGCCAGAACATGGAGGGAAAACCCATAGGGGAGATGGTTAAATGTCATCCTTTTGTGTCTTTTTGCTATTTTTAATGCTTCCCTGTAGATATTGTTTTGTATATTTGCTGCCCGCCCATCTGTTCCCATACATTTTCCATGGCGCTGGCCCCACACAGCCTCTGGTAGACCAGTGAGCAGCCATCCAGTGTTCAAAGCTCTCTATAACCCTCTGATTCTGGTAGGGCACGTCCCAGGCCATGACAGATGCCACCTTTTCTCTCCCTGTGCCAGCATGGTTTAGACTCGCTACTAGAGCCTTTGGAGTCCAAGGCTGGGGAGATGGAGCTGGGCTTCATCTCCTTCTGCTGTCCTGCATGATTTATTTCTGATCTTGGTATGTAGCCGTCAAGGCCGGCAACCTATTCTCACTGAGAACAGGATGGGTCCCTGCTTTTCCAACAGTTCCTGCCCCATGTGAGCAAGCAGGGAGTCCTCCACCCTCTGATCTCCCTGTCAGTGCTCCACCCCACCTCCCCCATTCACTCTGGCCCTTTCTGTCTTTGACAGAGGAGAACGAGGAACGCACCATGATTGATCCCACCTCCAGGGAGGACCCCAAGTTCAAGGAGCTGATCAAGGTGAGGTATGGTCTGGTGTGACTGGAGCATCCCTGTTGGCTCTGGGCCTTCTTCGGGGGACTCGCAACTTCTGTAGACACAAGGAGGAGCTGAGCCTCCCGGCTCCTGAAAGACTACATTGGAAAGGGGTCAGAGGAGCGGGGTGTGGGCTGAAGAAGGAAATGAAACATAGGTTCTCTAGGTGCTCCCTAGGACAGCCCTAGGCCTCTATGGGGCTGTCACGCAGTGCTCACAAGAGCTACGCAGGGTCTGTTTTGAACCGCTACACTTTGTATACAGGCCTGGTTGTTATAGCTTCATGGGATCAAGCTGTTTTGGGGAGCAGGTTGTTGTCTTCCTTCACCATGGCCTCATCTGAAGACGGCCCTTGGTGTCTTAGTCACCTGAAAAGGGAGTCTCAGTTGAGGCCTTGCTTAGATCAGACTTGGCCTGTGGCATGTCCGTGAGAGATAGCCTTGATTGCTGATAGATATAGGGGGGCACAGCCCACTACGGGTGGCGCCATTCCCTCGGCAGGCAGTCCCAGGTTATATTAGGAAGCTAGCTAAGCACAAGTAAGTAAGTAAGTAGTGTTCCTCCAAGGTTTCTGCTTCAGGCTCCTGTGTGAACGTCTGCCCTGACTTCCCCCAGTGATGGATTGACCTGGAAGTGTAAGCCAATAAACCTTTTCCCTTCCTCAGCTGCTTTGGTGAGAAGGTTTTAACACAGCGACAGAATGCAGCTAGACCCCTGGGGGAGCATGTGTGACTATGAGCTAGGTGGGAGAGCAGAAGGCTGTGTTCTCGAAGGTCACAGTAACAGGCGGGCAGGACTGTGGCTCAGTGGCTCCCAGGGACAACCACCTGCCCTTCTCTAGCACATGCCTGACCCTGTCCAGGGGCAGCTTGAGTCTTTGATTGCTCAGATCTAAGTCCCAGGAGGACTCCCGAAGGCCACCACCTGAGACAGGCAGGTAGTGTCCTACCTCGGAGACCCAGACTTGGTTTGGGTGACCTAGGCTCTTTGAAATGCTGCATGTGACAGTGTCCTGAAATAGACGGCTCTCTATAAGCTTTCCTGTCTTTACCCCAGCCAGGAGCCCAATGCTGACCCTTGCGACTGAGTTCACAAGGGCCGATCCAGGGAAATCAGGGCTGCTTGCCCTCTGTGCCTTCTAGAAATATGAACTGGAAATGTCTGTTATGGCCACCCAAAGAAGCTGATTTATTTATTTTTATTTTTATTTATTTATTTTTTTTGAGACAGAGTTTCCCTGTGCAACCATGGCTGTCCTGGAACTCACTCTGTAGACCAGGCTGGCCTTGAACTCAGAGATCTGCCTTCCTCTGCCTCCCAAGTGCTGGGATTAAAGGCACGTGCCACCACTATTTCGCTGAGGATTTTTTCTTTTTGAGACAGTGTCTTACTCTGTAGGGGAGAAGGAGTTTATCTAGCTTGCAGTTCTGGGTTACAGTCCAACATTGAGCCTGTCAAGATGGCAGGAACTTGGAGCAGCCAGTCGCATCCACAGTAAGAGCAGAGAGAGTGAACGTATGCACACTTACATACTTGCCTGCTGTACTCAGTTGCTTTCTCCACTCTTATCCTGTTTGAGACCCCATAGGTCTAGGGACTGGTGCCACTCACCGTGGGCTTGGTCCTCCCACATCGATTAGCTTAATTAAGACAGCCCCCCACCCCCACCTCAGACCCCAGACATATCCACAGACCAGCCCAGTGTGGATACTCCTCTCAGTCGATTGTGTCAAGCTGACAATTAGGATAAATCATCTCGCTGGGCAGTGATGGTGCACACCTTTAATCTCAGCACTTGGGTGGCAGAGGCAGGCGGATCTTTGAGTTTAAGCCAGTCTGGTCTACATAGCGAATTCCAGGACAGCCAGGGCTACATGGAGAAACAGAACCAACCAAAAACCAAAACCAAATAAACAAAACAGCCAACCAACCAAATGAAAGATTAACCATCGCAACTGGGCTGAGTGGCCTAGGCCGCCGATGGAGGTGTCAAGGAAGGGGGAAGCCAGGCTCCTGCTACTGGATTGGAAGAAGGGCAAAGGTGTGTTCTGAGGTCTGTGGGAGCCTCTAGAAGCTGGAGGAGCCAGGAAGCAGTGTCCTAAGAGCCTCCAGGCGGGCCAACTCACCTCTCTAGACACTTGACCTCAGTTCAGTAACACCGGCTCTGGCCTCTTACCTCCAGCATGTGAGAGGATCCAGGGGAAGCCATTGGAGTTGTGGAAGTCCATAGAGCAGTCACAGGAAGCAGATCTCCTCCGCTGTAGCTGGCCGTCCATGTGGGCCAGGCAGGGTGGCTGTGTATCTGCAGCAGCGGCTGAGTCCTTTCGACGCCCTGTTCCCACCACTATCCCGTGGGCCTGCAGCTGTTCCCGTGGAGACTAGACCTGAGGCAACTCAGCCTGAGATCTCCTCTCACTGCAGGCTGGTCTTGACCTAGCACTTTCATAAGCTAGGGCAAAACACCATGGACAGGGGAGTGGTCCTGGGGCCTTAGAGGGTTCATTAGCCATGGTTGTGGATGCCTGGTGGAACATACAAAGTGTCAAATTGCTGAGCAAGGAAGGGGTCTGAGATAGACAAGTGTGGGAGGTGGGTGCAATGGCTCTGGGGGCTAGCCCTTTTGGTCAGGTCTATGGGGGCTGTGAGAGAAGCTGTGGTTTGGTTGGAGCGTGCTCCTATTGTAGGTCTGTGGACGCTTCCTTTCTCTGTCCTGAAAGTAGCTGGCTTGAATATTGCTCTTGTGCTGTGAGTGCGGGATGACCGGCTTCCCAGCGGCTGCTAGGATGGACTCAGTGCCTGGCTCGTCCCCAGGATCACCGCAGAGCCAAGCACCCCGGGACTGCTCTGTTCAGACCCTTCGCTGTCATCCCATGCCTCCTCCCTCCATCCCTCTGCTCCACATACTATGTGGATTCATTGCTGCTGTGCTGAGCAGGGACCCTCTGGGTGTATGTTTAGAGGAGACAGTTTCCTCCATGACACACCGGCAATCTCAGGGGTCTCAGCATACCTTAGGCTTGATAATTCACCAGAAGGACACCAGAACCCACTGGAACAGCGGCTGTCAACCTGTGGGTCGTGACCCCTTTGGGGGTTGAGCAACCTTTTCACAGGGGTTACATATGAAACATCCTGCATGTTAGATATTTACACCGTGATTCATAACAGTAGCAAAATTCCAGTTATGAAGCAGCATTGAAATAATGTTATGGCTGGGGGTCACCACAACACGAGGAGCTGTATTAAAGGGTCACAGCCTTAGGAAGGTTGAGAACCACTGCGCTGGAAGCTGTTGTCCTTAAGGTCACAGTTGGTGACAGGCATGGCTACCTGGGGGAGTCACGCTTGGGATCAGGATCTAGGGAGTGGGCTGTGGGAGAAGTGGCAGGGTCTGGGAGCTTGGGATTATACCTCTATACAGATGGTTCCAGAACCTCAGAAAGCCACTGTGTCTCAGTGTCAGGACGTCGTTGGTGCTGCAGATCAGTGACCCTGCTTCCAATGGTCCCCTGTGGGGGTGTTGCCCAGAAACAGGTTTTGTGGGGTTTTGCTGAACCAGACCTCTGCCTCCCTAGATGCAGGTATTTTTAAACTTAAACCTATGTGGTGTATTGGCCTGAGCAGGTTAGAGGGCAACTTGGACTGGCTGACATCCTGTCCTGCCGGGCATGGTCATGGTGGCCGTGTGACCTTCACAGCCTCTCCCAGTCTTTGGGACCAGGGCTGAGTTTCTGAGGATGCTTGGCCGGCCTCGTTTCTTCCTCTCTGCCCTCTGTCCTCTGTGTTTTCCCTCTGTTGTCTTGTTGGCCTTCTCCGTCCCCTACTACTTTGGGATTGTCATCTTTGCAATGTTGTGAGTCGCCCTCTGCCTTTTGTCTGAAGTCCCTGGCTCTGGCTGGGCAGACAAGGGGAATGAGGTTGATCATTAAAAACTATTTTGAGCATCTGTCGTGCTCATTGGACCATTAAGGGGTGAAGGTCCAATCCCAGCTCAGGAAAGTGAAGGGCCTTGACCCACGGCCATTCATTATCTGATGATGGGCATGGAGAGGGACCAGGTCTGGTGGGGAGGGTGCACTGGCCAGTGGGTGTCACCTTAGAATTGGACCTGCATTCTGTGGGCCCAGGAACCTCAAAGACTCACGCTGGCGTCCTGCTGATATTTCTTCCTGTGGCCATTTCCTCTGGTGTCTGCTGCAATCAACCCTGTAGGTGGCCAGTGTGTCGGAAGCTTATGGCTGAGACGCTTTGTGTCGTTAACTTTTCTGTTAGAAAGGATCCCGTGCCTTTCTTCTAGGGAGAAGCCTCTGTGCTCAGTGTCCCATTCAATCCTCGTTTCCAGGGCCTGGCACAGAGCTCCGAAACCCTCACAGTTGCCTGGGCGTGCGATCTCCCCTGCAGCACACACTCTTGGTCACACCTGGGTCACTGCTAATGAGGGCATTTGGTGAGTCTCCAGTTGACTTTCAATGGTCGATGCTCCTAAGGGAATCGGTGTTGGATTGATGTATTTTGGAAGTTAAAGTTAGGAATTAAAACCCAACAAACCCACACAGCCCTCCCTAAGCATGCTGGTCAGGGCAGCCAGGCACCTCAAGCTGGGTGCATCTTCCTCCAAGGGCGGATTTCACATCTCATTGTTCAGTTGCTGGGCAAGGCCTACCCTTGTGAAGCTGGTTCTTTTTCCTCTTGTGCCCGGGTCATGTAGAGGCGCTCTGGCGTGCTCAACCCTCACTGACTCCCACCCAGTTCAGTAAGGTACATCTCCATCCATCCCCAGGGACAACACAGGACTCTGTTTGGAAATGATTAAAATATAACTGTCATGGCTCTGGGGGAGACAGACTGCAGACCTGATTATAATTCAGAAGGAACCAAGGGGAAAGTAATTTTTTATTCTGGTTAGGGCGAGCTCATAGAGCCAGCCGTGATCGAGTGCCGTGTAAGGATGTAATTAATATATGTCCCTCCTTATTCACCCGCAGGACCTGGGGCTCGGCAGATGAACGAGTCCCTAAAAATAATGGCTGATGCTATCTTTAAAAGCTCCTTTGTAAAACAGAAGATAAGAAGGAAGACTGGGAGCAGAATGATGGGGTGACAGGCATGTCCCCAAGTCAGCTGCATCTCCTGACCGGGGTAGGGGGTGGAGGGTGGGGATGGGGTGAGACTGGGGAGGATTTTTGCTTCCTGGACCTGAGAGCCTGGCCTGTTATGTAGAGTTCGTTTTTGAGCTTTTGGCTTTTTCTTCCTGCCTTCGGGCTCCGAGTAGGCCAGAGATCTACATGTGGGGGTTTTATTTGTTTTGTTTTTCTTCTTCAAGTTTTCTGTTCTCATAGAAGAAACATTCTGTCATGATTTCCTGGAATATTTGCATTTAAGGAAAGAAGCCCCTGGAAGCAAAGGAGGCTTGTAGGGCCCAGAGTCCTTTCTAGATGTGAATTCCCCAAGGCAGTCCTCTGGTTTGTTTGAGACCTTGAGTCTGCTCCTGTCTTAGCCACTGGGGATGAGTGCTGAGCAAAACAGCTCACTCACTAAGCTCACAGTGCACCTGGGAGAAAACATGATTGGGACAAAGTGAACACGCGATCAGGTGGCAGGGTGTGCCTCGAAGCCTCTCCCACCTTCTGCAGTTTCTTGCATGGCAGCCAGGGAGGTGGCATTTGAGTAGACCTCTGCATCAGTGCCTAGGTCGTGGCCAACTGCCCAACAGCGGGTGCAAAGGTCCTGCGGTAAGCATCTGCTTGGCATGTTCTAGCAACCACTGACATGGGCAGGGTGACAAGAGCCTACAAGCTTGCAGGAGAGTGACCTGGGATAGAGACACCGCAATAGGGGTGTGGGGATGGTGACCGATCATTGCTAACTTTCTCATGTTGGCTCTCAGGGTAGAGGGACCGACTCTTCCTCAAAGCTGTGGCAGACAGGGGTGGGGCTGGCTTTGTGTCCACTATATACGCCTTCCATACCTGCACTGTCCCCAGCTAACACCCATGACAGGTAGGTTACCTTTCTCGTGGGCAGGGACTGCACTGTACCTCCTCTCTTCCTTGTCATGGCCCCGGGGGGCACCTGCTGTGGACACTATCCAGGGAAGACCCTACAAGTGAAAGCTCAATGGCTGTGGCCTTTACACCTGGAGGTGGGACCGCAAGGCAAGCACAAACTTCCCCTCCCTTTTTGATGACTGGCAGAGAATACCTACCCTTATCCGTTTGTTGTTTCGGGGTTTCTGTTGCTATGATGAACACCCTGACCAAACGCACCCTGGGCAGGAAAGACACTTAAAGTGTCTTCCCGTCCAGGGAAGCCAGGGCGGAACTCAAGGCAGGAACCTGGAGGCAGGAACGGAAGTGGAGCCCATGGAGAATGCTGGCGTATTCAGCATACTCTTATTACGCCCAGGACCACCTGCCCAGGGGTGGCACAACCCAAATCGGGCCCTTCCACACCCGTCATCAGTCAAGAAACTGTACCGCAGTCTTGCCCACAGGCCAGGCTAGTGGAGGCATTTTCTCAGTTGAGGTCTCTCCTCCCAGGTGACTCTGGCTGTGTCCACTTGGCACAAGTCCAGCCGGCACAGCAGTCCCAGCAAGCTCAATACACCGCTGTGCTTTCATTCCTCGTGAAGCCGAGACTGTGTCGTTTTCTGCATGGAGGAAAATCCTTGCTGTGGTTTGTAGCTCCCAGTGTGAGAACAAACCTTAGACCCTCGGGCAGAGGACAAGTGGGCACCTAGGATATGTCCCCAGTGATCTCTTTCCTCCAATCAGGCCCTGCCTCATAGTTTTCATTGCCCAGAGGGGACAGCCCAGTGGCCAGAGAACACAGGTCGGACTGGAGCCCAATCAACCAGGGAGCTGGAGAGGGTGCCATCTCTCCCCCTGACCCTCAGAAGGCGCTTTGACATGTCCGCAGAGCCGCAAGACTTTGTAGCTCTTCATCCTAGCCACGTGTGGCTCTTAAGCTCTGAGATCCCCGACTCAGTCTCCTGGGGTCACTTGGAAGCTGGTCAGGACTTAAGGGGACTTGGCTTTGTGACCGATTTCTCAGTCCCTGTTTTTCTCAGAGAGTGACAAGACACTGCGCGTTTGGATTTGTTCACTTTGATCCTTCTGAGAGTGGCCACAGACCTCCACCTCCCAGGGCCTCAGGGGTCCAATTAGATAACTTAATTCATTTTGCTGGCATGGGAAAGTCACAGTCTGAGTGTCACGGATGCAGCCCGGGCGGGTATCTGTTTTATTCCGGGTGGGATGCGAGTGAGCACTGTCTCCCAGAATCCCTCTATCCCAGAGACAATTAGCACTGCAGGTAGATTGCTTCCATGGTGTGCCCGCCCAATGCGTTGAGTGGGAAAACCTGCTAAGAAAAGCTGTCTGGGGAAGATGGGTCTGGAAAATAGACACAAAAAACTTGACCACGAGTGTTTCCAGCAGCGTGATGGGCAGAGAATGGCACAGCTCAAATGGCCAGCAATGGGGCAGACAAATAAGATGAACATACATTTGTGTCGTGCAGTGGTAAGGGGCTCAGTGGGAAGTGGGGGAGAGGGAGGAGCTATCATAGGGATGGCCTTCAAGCACCGTGCTGAGAGAAGCCAGGTGTGAGGGAGGAGTTCTCCTACTGTGTAATCCCATTGATGGGGCTCAGGATCAGGAGATGGAGAGGGCCCGAGTCACACGCGGAGAAGGCCTAGTTTCTGTTCAGGGGCAGGAAAACATTCTGAAGTGGGTTGGCGGGACCGTTACACAGTGTTGTGATCCCTGAAGGGTGCAGCAGGGGGATGCTCCATTGACTGAACAGTGCACAGAATGCAGTGGACAGCAGAGCCAGGCTGGGACCTCTTGCATTAGCCTGGGACTCGAACTCAGCACCGCTGAAGTGCAGGCTAGGAGGAGGGTTGATGCTTCATGCCCCCTTTTCCCTCTGTCCAACACTTGCTCATTTAGCACCCAGTGCCCAAGTGGAGCCATGAGCCCTTTTGCTGGGAGATAAGTGTCACCAATTACCGATGGTCCCTGCAGGATCCCAGCCTGCTTGGTTCTGTCAGGGCTCTCTTGGGGACTGTTAGGAAGTCCTAGCTCCATGCATGGGTCGGGCTCTCCACTCCTGCTCTGGTCACGGACCAAGAGATACCTGTTGTCCTCCCTTGTTACCAGGCAGGTGCCTGGTAGCCCCTGTATGTTGGGGCAGCTGCCCGTCTGAGCCTGCTGTGGCTCTGCTTTGTCCGGCAGCTCTGACACGCCTCTCACCTCCCCCAGGTGCTCCTGGACTGGATCAACGACGTGCTGGCCGAGGAGCGCATCATTGTGAAGCAGCTGGAGGAGGACCTCTACGACGGCCAGGTGCTTCAGAAGCTTCTGGGTGAGCGCCAGGACCCCACCACGTGGCACCATCCTCCTTGCCCTGGAAACAGCCCAAAGCTTGGTTTATACCTCCTGGGTGGCCCTAGCTGTGGTTTCTTTGCCGTCTGTCTTTGTGGTTTCTCTGCTGGCCGGTATGCACCCAGCCACGGGGCCGCAGCAGGTTTTAGTGGATGCTCATGCCACGGACCAAGGAAACAGGATTCAGAGGAGCCGTGTCCCTCATCTCATCTCTTTGGCCACCCTTGTCCCATCCAGTTATGAGCATTTTTAGGATGGCATGACAGAGGGTGGGTCTCCAACAACCCCGTGTGAGGGAACATGTCATTGTCCTGACTCATGCTTCCAGACTTTACTGTCCCCAAGTCGTGGCTGAGGATGATTGAATGTGTCTCAAAATAGAATGATGGAAGAGAAGATGGACAGGTGGGCAGCCTCTCCATCGAAGGTTCTTGAGCCTTGCTGAATGCTGGGTTCTAGGCCAGTGAATCCTGAGGCAGACATCTCCTATCCTGCCCTTTGGGAGTGTGCAGTCTGTCTGAGCAGACAGTGACAGATGCCATGGGTCTGGAGAGTATAAAGGCCACACAGACGCCATATTATATGGCCAGAGTGTGTGGCCTTACCACACACTGGAGTCTAAGAGTGGCCAGGAGAATAGAGAAGGATAAAGTCAGGGGTGGGGGATGGGAATGCCGTGAGATGCATGATGCCTCAGCCTGGTGTGGTGACTCATGCCTGTCATCCTAGCCCTCGGGAGGCTGAGGCAGGAGAACTACTAGTTTAAGACTAGCCTGGCCTACATAGCGAAAGCCTGTCTCTGAAAGAAAATCGTGAATGATACCGCTTTGGGACCAGCTCTTACCTGGGGATGTTGTGCTTGGGGCTGTTATGAGCGCATCTTGTGGGCTGTGCTGTCCTTTCTGGCTGAGTCTTGGTGGCTGTGGGACGTGGTGAGGTATGGGCTATCAGGTTTGCACCGGCTCCTCTCTTTCCGCTGTTTGTCAGGTGCCTTGGGCATAGGTCCTGATCGTACAGGTCTTTCCTTATCACAGCGGGTTCTCACAGCAGCCCAAGGACAGTCCCAGTGACTCAGTGTCTCCAAATGCCTTTTCTTCCAGGGCATTTGATGCTATCCCTGTTCTTTCCTGACTTCTCTCAACGCCCCTCCTCCCCTTTTATTCCTCTGTCTCTGATGACGTCTTTGAAGGGTTTAGACATCTTGTCCTATAGAAAATGGACCCATGTAGATTCATCGGATCACTCTTTTATTTTTCTCTTTTAAAGATGTACTTAATTTGATTTTATGTGTATGAGTGTTTGTGTGTCTGGTTGCAGTAGATGGGGGGCTACCCTGGGTGGTCAGCCCACTTCCTCTCCAGGGGTTTGAGTGTAGGAGCAACTTACCTTCTTTTTGGCCCTTGGACTTGGTGATTGGGCTGGCAAGAGCCGTGTGTGTGTGTGTGTGTGTGTGTGTGTGTGTGTATGTGCGTGCGCATATGCGCACAGGTGCATGTGCCCATGTATGCATGTGTGAGTGGAGGTCAGAGGTTAATGTCAGGTGTCTTCCTCAGCTGCTCTCTACCTTACTGAGGTTTGGTCCCTCACTGAATTGGGAGTTCACCGATTTGGCAAGATTAACTGGCCAGGGAGCTGTAGAGATCCCCCTGACCCTGCCTCCCCACCCCTATCTGTGCTGGCATTACAGGCGGGCACTGCCACACCCAGACTTTTCCCTCGATGCTGAGTTCAGATGTTTACGAGCCACGTGACTCGGGTGCTAGGATCTGAACATCTCATGTTTGAGCAGCAAGCACTGCTTTTTGCCTCTGCCGCTCCCAACACTCCCATGGCGATGCCTTTCCGTGGACCAATCCTTCAAGGTGGTGCTGAGTCTCAGGATCACAGGGCGGGCTCTGACTTTGCATCTCCACTGACCGTGGCTGGCTGTCGACAGCCCTGATGCCTGCCCTGGTCCATCTTTGAGAGCAGGACCTCTTGGATATGTGCTTTTGGTTGCCCCTTCAGTTTGCCTGGTAAATGCAGCACTGACCTGAAGCCATCCTGTTGCTTCTCCAGGCCGTGTGTCATGAGGACTTGAGGCTTGCCTAAGCTCTGCTGTCTTTGTACTGTGGAGTGGTTGTTATAGCCTCTCATTTGAATATCTCCAGTTGGTACTTGAAAAAGCAGCTTGGAAGCCTTTTATGTAAAGTGGTTTGGACAGAGAAAAGGACAGTGGGAAGAGCATTCAAGGCTGAAGAGGACGTCAGTCAGCACATCTTTGCCTGGTTGTGTGGGCACTGCTGTTTCTGATAAGATGTAATGAAAGCTCTCATGACCTCTGAGACCGGGGATCCCAGGGTGACCTTGGTGTAGGCGCTGGGCTCTTGGGCTTTCCAAAGGCAGAGTTAGATCAAATAAGAGGTGCTGGCTGAACAATAAGATTTCAGTGGGAGTGCCAGGACTGGTCAAGATGAGGGGATCCAGCAAAGAAGTCTGGTGAGATCAACATGTGGGAAGGGACCCCGAGGTGTGTCACGTGGGAGTAGGAAGTACTTTTTAAAATTTATTTGAATCATATTTTTTGCATGGGCGTGCACATGAGAATGGGGACATGTGTGGGCCATGGTGTACATGGGGAGGTCAGAAGACAGCTACACATGACCTTCCTCCTTCCCCTGTGTGTGAGGCAGGGCCTCTTGCTTACCTCAGCCTGCTCCATGCTAGACGACTTACTAGCTTCCGGGGCTTCTCTTGCCTGCACCTTCCTTCTTGTTCCTAAAGGAATGCTGGGGTACAGGTATGCACATGAACACATTTTGCTTTTTGTGTTCTGGGGCTCGAACTCGGGTCCCCATGTTTCACGAAGCAAGCGTGTTACCCGCTGAGCCACGTCTCCAGCCTGAGGAGGTGTTTTGAGGGGTGACGAGCGTAAATGAGAGGATGGCATGGACCTTTGGACTTGGCCATGTGACATTCATCAAGACTGAGCCACCAGGGAACCCAGAGGAGCCTCTATTCCTGAGAGGGGTTGCTGGAAGCAGCAGGGAACTGCTGCGGCAGGCCAGGTTTCAGCTTGGCTGGCTTTGGTGGACAGGGTGGAATGCCTGTGTAGGATGCTGAGGGTCTCCTGGGCCAACTGGTACCCACTGGAACATTTTTAGTCCTTCCTCATGTGTGCCATCACCCTCAGCCGCGTACTTCACTCCAAGGGTCGCTCAGCCTTTCTCTGACTCTTCCACATTGGGAAGAAGAGGCCATGACACATCTGCCACCCTAGCTGTTGACAGATCAACACCTGGTGTGTGTGCAGAGAAATCTCTTCTCTGCTTAGTAGAGTCACTGCGTCATGGAGACCGAAGGAGAGACCGTGGGGCACAGGACCTGCTTCCTAAGCTCACATTCATACACTGACATCAGCGCTGGATAAGGTTTATGTCAACTTGGCACTGTCTGGAATTGTCTGAGAGGAGGGAACCTCAACTGAGAAAATGCCCCTCTAAGATGAGAGTGTGGGCAGGCCTCTAGGACAGCAGGTCTCACCCTGTGGGTGGCAGCCCCTCTGGCAAACCTCTATCTCCAAAAATACTTACATTACAATTCGTAACAGTAGCAAATTAGTTATGAAGTAGCAACAAACATAATTTTATGGTTTGGGGTCACTGCAACATGAGGAACTGTATTAAAGGGTTGCAGCATTAGGAAGCTTGAACACCACTGATGCAGGTAGGACTTCCTTCCTTCCTTCCTTCCTTCCTTCCTTCCTTCCTTCCTTCCTT